AGCCCAGAGCACACGGAATGGAAACCTCACCTATATTATTTGGCACGGCCCAGCAGACATGAATAACTTCGGAATTTGGGGGGGAAAAGAGGAGTTCTGTGTTTTTGGAGCCGAAGTGGGGTTGGAAAGCAGCCCTTGCAGACAGCAGGATGCTGTGGAGGATCAGGCTGGAGTTCCCCTGGGTGCAGAGCCCTGGGCTGGTGTTTGTGGGTGTTTCTGAGGGGTCGGAAGCCGCACTCGGAGGCAGTGGAGCACCGAGTTCCTCGGAGACAGCCAGGCAGGATGATGTGCCAGAGCTTGGCTCTTTGGCTTCTTCCCCCCTCTTCAGTCCTAGAAGCACTGTGAGGTAGTGGAAATTTGGAGTGTGGTGGGGAAGGCGGGCCTGGTTTCCTCAGGCTGCAGGAGGGAGGAGCAGAGCAGAGCCTCGGAGCTCACCTGGGCACGGGGGCTCGGCTGGGGGCAAAGAGTTTGGCCAAAAATGGTTATTTCTGCTCTGGATCGTGTTTGGTGTGAGCCACACCAGTGTGTGGGTCCAGCATTCCCAGGGCCAGCTGGGAATGAGGGAGGGGATGGGAATGAGGATGGGGATGAGGAGGGAATGAGGATGGGGATGGGGATGCAGAGCAGTGGGTGCAACACAGTGGGGCAGCTTCAGCTGCTGTTGCCACTGGCAGAAGTGGGTTTGCAAGGAATCCTAATGGAAGCTGAGTATCCAATATAAAGGTTCAGCTCTTCCTGAGCTGATGGAATTCTGCTCTGCTGGCAAAGGGTCTCCAGCTGTGCAAGTGTTGGTGGTGACACAGGAGACCCGGGGGGACACAGGCAGGAGAGGGGGGAGTGGGGCCATCCCTTCTGCCAGCAGTTGGGATTGTTTCCACTCTCAAAAGCCCTCAAAACTCTAATTGGGTAAAGATGGAAATAGAAACCACAGGTCACAGGCCTGTAGTTAACTGGAAGCTCTGGGATGTGTGAAGGCCACAGTCCTGAGGGCTGGAAGTGGCCGGGAGACGTTTGTGAGTCATTCCACTGAAACACTGAGAACAAGAAACCCAGACACCGAGTCATCTGCTTGGGTATGACTGGAGTCCAAACTGCTGGAGCTGGTGAGGCTGAGCTGGCCAGTCCAGGAGCCTTCCTTGCCATGGATCCTGCTGGAACAGCCGGAGTTACGCAATGAGGAGCAGCACACTTGGATTTCAGGAAGCCTGTTGGTGCAGGGCCATGCAGAGATGGAAAGAAAATATATTGCTTCCCATTTAAGTAAAAATATCACGGCTTAGGAACTAGTTTTCCAGCAGGGAGTGGTTGTTAAGAGTAAGACCAGCTGAAGAACAGTGGTGGTGCAGGTTTGAGGGAAGGGATCATGTAGAATCAGAGAGTCATGGAATATCCTGAGCTGGAAGGGACCCACAAGGACCATCCTGTCCAACTCCTGGCCCTGCACAGACACCCCAACAATCCCACCTTGTCCAAACCCTCCTGGAGCTCTGGCAGCCTTGGGGCTGTGCCCACTGCCCTGGGGAGCCTGGTCAGTGCCAACCACCCTCTGGGGGAAGAACCGTTTGCTGAGATCCAACCTGACCCTGCCCTGGCACAGCTCCAGCCATTCCCTGGGTGCTGTCCCTGCTCCTAGAGAGCAGAGATTGGAGCTGCCCCTCCACTGCCCCTCCTGAGGAAGCTGCAGACTCGATGAGTCTCCCCTCAGGCTCCTCCAGCTGGACAAGCCGAGTGCCCTCAGCTGCTCCTCACGTGGCCTCCCCAGACCCTTCCCCACCTCGTGGCCTCCTTTGGATGCTCTCTAATAGATCCACACCTGCGTTAGGCTGGACATGGAACCAAGGTGGCAGTTTGCTTCCCAGTTCCCTCCAGCAGAGAGGAAGTGAGGGACTGGAGGGACTCTGGGGTGACCTGGGTCCTGTCCATGCCATGGTCAGGGACTTGAACACAGGCAGGTGTCAGAACTGCTTTAAATCCCTCCCTGAGCAGTGATAGGTGCAAATCACCCACTGGGGTTTGAACCTAACCTGGCTGCACACGAGGTGCACAAACAGTTCATAAATAATTCAGGAAGAACTTTTCCTGCTGGAGAGGGCAGGGGGGTCTGACCTGAGCCCCAGTGGTACCTGAGGTGGTTTGTGCAGCAAAGCAACGTGGAGAGAAGGAGTCCCTGGAGCAGAGTGAGCTCACATGGAATTCATTGTGGGATGAGATCACTGGGACCTGCTGCCTGGCTCTTGTTTGCCCTGTTCCAGGCTCTCAGCCCTGCTGAACTCTTGCCATGCCTGGGTTGTGCAGGGGTTTCCAGGCAGGTTTCTTGTCCCAGTGCCAGCCTGGTGCCTAAGCTGATTAGCTCTAAGGAGATCAGAGCTTGACAGGGGGGGTACTGCAGGTAAACAGGGAAGCTTTTCCTACAGCTGAGCTCCAGTGTAGCTGTGAAATATGTTTGCATCCTCAGAGGTGAGGAATGAGGGAAGAACCCCCAGGAAAAATACCGAGGAGTGCACTGAATGATAAGTAGAACTGATAAGGAGCCTGGTGAGGGACTGAGAGGAGAATCAGGCACAGATACCATCAGAGCCTGTAAATACTGTCAACATGACAGCACAGATGAGCAAAAGGAAGAGTATTTGTTATCTGATGGAGAGCAAGCTTTAGGAAGAGCAGGGATCACAGCAGCAAGCGTGGGGGGATCCCTGGGAGCTGGTGGAGGAGATCCCTGGGAGCAGGTGATGCTCCAGAGGGATGGAGGGAGGGCAGAGGAGAAAACACAATGTGCAGGTGGCAGAATGGGCTGGGGACCCTCGCTGTCCTCACCCCCTCCGTGCTTCTGAGTGGAGCAGGAGGTACAAGTGCACTGGAGGGGTCCCTTGGGGTCCCCAGTATTCCCAGAAATAGGAGTTTGCTGTCACATGGAACTTGTGGATGGTGTCACTGCTCCTGTGCTTGGTGGTGGTGGCAGGTGGTGGCTGCATCCCAGCAGTGCTCCTGGGGATGCCCTGGGGTGGGGGGGACCCCTGTGCTGAGCCTCCTCCAGGTTGAAGACAGATGCCACCTGTGCTCCTGGATCACACTGAGCCCTCCCGCTTTCCAGCCGGGAAACCCAGGGAGAGGGAAAGCTGGACCAGCAGCTGGGAGGGAGCTGGGTCAGGGCAGCACTGCTGCCCCCAGGGCTGGGCTGGGAGTGGGGAGACCCTCAGCTGAGATGGAAAAGCCCTGGGAAGTGTCCTGTGTCAGACCCAAGCACTGGGATTTGAGCAGGGAAAATCTCGGACCCAGACCCTGCTGGGAATCTTTACCATGGATGGCCAGTTCCCTCTCAGCAATCCCTCATCCCCCAGGGCTCTCCTGGCTGTTGTGGTGCCCAGCAGTGTGGTCAGCACTACACAAACCACGTCCTGGCACAGGGATCCCTGGGCACCTGCAGTCCTGCCAGGGGTTTATTGAAATCCTGATTTTCCAGGTGCCATTGAGCAGCCTGGGGTGTCTGACCCTGGCAGCTGCTCTTGGTGGGACTGGTGGCAGCTCAGACTGTCCACATCCCTCCTCTTCCCTTCCCTGGGATGGGGTTTGTGTGAGGAAACAGAGGAGCTCTGGGCTCAGGGGTGTAGCAGAGTGTGGATCTGGGATGGTCCTGAGGATCCTCTTGTGATAAAGCTGTATGACTGCCCATGGCACAGCTTGGGAAGGGGTGTGATCCTGGAGGGAGGGTTTGGTGCCAAGCCATGGATTTATTGGTTCCTGCTGCACCACACACACAGGGACCAGCTGGCTCTTCCTCATGCCCTGGGAGCAGTCCTGGATGGACTGTGCTCCTCAGGGGTTAACTGGGCATAGCTGGGGCCAGTCTGGGAATTTAAACTGGAGCCCAAAAAGTGGTGGAGACCGAGAGGTGCTGAAGACCAAGAGGTGCTCAGCAGGTTTTCCACCCAAGCACTTGCCCCTGCTCTGTGCTGCTGGGCCGATAGGGATCCTCTCCAGCCCTGGTGCTTGCATTCCTGGTTTGCATTCCCCAGTTCTCCAGGAGCACAGGTGTGGAAAGCTGCCTTGGGAGCCAGTGGCCAGCCTGTGCCGCCCTTCCCTGGAGAAGTGGCCCTGGAAGGGTGGAAGGAGATCTGTGCTGACATCAAAGGAGCCAGCAAACGATAGGCATCACCTAATTGCTGCCTCTCCCCTTCCTCCTGACTCTGGGCCTTCCCAGGCTGGGATTGTTATCTCAGGGGGTTGGGCAGCAGCAGTCCCACCCCTGGGATCTCTGGTACCCAGATAAGGTCCAGGTGGTGACGTTTAACAACCTGAAGAGTTGGAATAAAATGAAATGGCATTTCATGGTCTGGTTGGGAGAGAAGTGGCCTTGTGCAGCCCCCAGCCTGCAGGGGAGATTGTGTGTCCCTCAGGAGTGTGCTCAGGGGAAGGGAAGGACATCTGGAGCACCCCAGGGACCCTTCTGGGATGGGAGGTGACTCCTGTGCTGTGGCAGCTCAGGGAATTCCTGTCCTTTCTGCTGGATGGAGGTGGCTGGTCATAGAATCCCCGGATGGTTTGGGTTGGGAGGAACCTTAAAGCCCATCTTGTTCCAACCCCTTGCCATGGGCAGGGACACCTTTCACTAGCCCAGGTTGCTTGGGTCTCCATCCAGCATGGCCTTGGACACTTCCAGGGATGGGGCAGCCACAGTTTCTCTGGGCAACCTATGCCAGGGTGCCAGGGCCTCCCCACCCTCACAGGGAAGAACGTTTTCCTAAAAAAAAAGGGAACTGGAGCTCAGGACGGGTCCTCAGTCTCTCACCTCGCGTGGCCCCGCACCCAGCCCTGCCCCCGGGTGCCCCGTGATTCACTGGTGCTTTTGGGGCCAAAACCAACATCCAGAGGAGATTTTTCTGAGTAATTCTATCACCAGGAGCTCTCAGGAACCAATTCCCCAACCGCAGCCCTGCCGCCGTGGTTCGCTCCGGCCTTTCCCTGCCCGCCAGTCCCTCACGGGTGTTTCCCTCTCCCCACAGAATTCCATGAACCTGCCTCCCGACAAGGCCCGGCTCCTGCGGCAGTACGACAACGAGAAGAAGTGGGAGCTCATCTGTGACCAGGTGAGGGGGCTCTGGGGGGATTTTGGGAGCTGTTTTCACTGAGAGCACCAACTGCTTCCTCGGAGCGTCCCTGGGCTGAGAAGGGACCTCCCAGAGGACCAGTGTTGAGGAGCTGAAACACTCATTTCTTTGGCCTTACGCTCTGCTTTCAGTCACTACTCATAATAATTCCTTTCTTTTTGCCCCTCTGATGTTACAGTCACCCTGTGTGTCCTCTGGGTGCCCAGTGCTGCTGATTTTGCCCCTGCAGTCACCTCTCAGTCGGGTCTGTCCTGACCTGTGTCGTGAGCAAATTCTCTCAATCCAGAGAGTATTTGGGTCCCCACATCCCAAGCATTGTCCCTGCCAGCAGTAGCTGTCACCTTGAGGCACAGGAGGCTGGTGATGCTGCCTGAACTCCTGTTCACCTCCAGAGGCTGGAGACAACCTCGGATTAGGCAGCGACAGATGCTGAGGCATCTCTGTGTGGGAGCTGGGCAGGCCTGGCAGGGCACACAACAATTAACAGGTTGGCTCTGCCACGGTGCATAAACAGAAGTGGCATTGCTGGGGAAAACGGAGTGGGAAAAAGGTGGGATGTGCATTTGGGAGCCAGCAGCAAAATGGGGATCTGCCGGGAAGTGCAGCAGGAAGGGCTGATGGAAATAATTGATCCAGGGCTGGAAAAGGAGGGTGGTTCATTGGAATATAAAACACAGGAATACCAGGGTGGGAGTTTGGCAGGAGTCATGCTGGGAGGTCAGGAATATTTGGATAAATACATGTATGGGACATTTCCTATTTATCTGATACAGTGGTGGAGCCTCTGAAAAAATTGTAGAATCCCAGGATGGTTTGGGTTGGAAGGGACCTTAATCCCATCCCACTCTCCTGCCATGGGCAGGGACACCTTCCACTAGCCCAGGTTGCTCCAAGCCCCATCCAAGCTTGGACACTTCCAGGGATGGGGCAGCCACAGCTTCTCTGCCCAACCTGTGCCAGGGCCTCCCCATCCTCCCAGCCAGGAATTCCTTCCCAATATC